CTGAGCTGTGTCCAGGTTTGCAGTAGGAAGCTTTTAAACCTCAGACTGTGGAAAGAGAGAGGATAGGGTCAAAAAAGGCCTGCAATAAAACTATGGAATGGAGATGCACAGAGAAGGTGAGGATTGGTCAAGCAAGACCATTCGGGTGGGTATCAATAAAATAAGGGGGAGGGGGGAGAGCAGAAATAACAGAGAAATTCTTTAGAGATAAGCAGATAGTTGAATAACATTTAAGTGAACAAACCAACAATGATGAGTAGGGCAGGGAACAACTACCTTTAGCATGCAGAACAAAACAAACTACAAAATATATGCATGTATGTCTGAATAAGCACATACACACATGTATGTATATATATATATATATATATTTATTTATTTATTTATTTATTTATAAAATATTTTACCAGGAAAGATACATTGAGATTCCTCTCGTTTTCAAGTATGTCCTGGGTCCACAAATCATTGCATTGTTACATTAGGTACAACAAAATACAAAAACAATATTAATACACAAATATATACAAAATTTAACATAGAACAGGCAGGAAATATATAATCAACCATGACACGATATATATATATATATTCATACACAAACACATACATACATATAGTAAATAACAAGCACACCCAGGTATATAACAATGACAAAGAAATAGTGGTTAAAGATACATGCAGTGGCGTACATACCGGGCGACCTAGTATGCACGCCAGTGTGGCCACATTTTGCCAGCCTCTTCTCCTGGGGGACCCAGGAGCTGGCCACCTCAGGCCCCCCCGAGGCTGGCAGTGGCTTCAGTTTGCCGGCGGCCAGGCAGTCTGCTGGGCGCGCGCGTGAGGGAGGGAGCAATCTCCCCTGACTGCTCTCTGCCCATCTCCCTCACGCACCGCACTGATGCCGGAGCCGGAATATGATGTCATATTCCGGCTCCAGCATCAGTAAGCAGCGCGAGGGAGCTGAGCAGAGAGCACTCAGGGATGAGTGCTCCCTCGCGCACGCGCCCAGCAGCCCGCCCAGCAGCCCCACTGGACCCCGGGGATAGCAAGACCCCACTGGACCCCAGGGACAGCAGGAATCCCCACAGCACTCCCAAAGGTTGGGAAGTTGGGGTTTTAAATAAAATTAAAAAAAATATGTGAGTGTGTATGTGTGTTAGTGTGTGTGTGTGTTAATGAGTGTGTTAGTTTGTGTGTGTCAGTGAGTGTGTTACTGTGTGTGTCTGTTAGTGAGCGTCAGTAAGTGTGTTAGTGAGTGTTATTGTGTGTGTGTCACTGAGTGTGTTTGTGTGTCTGTTATTGAGTGTGTGTCTGCTAGTGAGTGTCAGTGAGTGTGTGTGTTACTGTGTGTGTCTGTTACTGAGTGTGTTAGGGTGTATCTGTTAGTGAGAGTATATGTTTTGTAAGTGAGTGTGTATGTGTGTCTGTCACTGAGTGTGTATCTGTCAGTAAATGTGTCTGTCTGTTAGCTAGTGTGTATGCGTCTGTTTGTGAGAGTGTGTGTGTAGGCCGGGCTCCCTTGGCGCTGGGGATCTCTCTGCCCCGATCCGCCTCTCAGCTCCGAATGCGCATGCGCGCATTCAAACCGCCCGTAAGAAAGCATTCCTCAATGCTTTCCTATGGATGTCCAGCGGAATCGCGGAAGTGCCTCTAGCGGCTGTTAGTGAGACAGCTACTAGAGGCTGGATTAACCCTCAGTGAAACATAGTGGGGGGGGTGGGGGCCATAATGATAATGGGGGGGGACCTACTGTCCTCCCCCCCAGACCCCTACCCTGGGCGGCAGGTAGGGGCCATAATGATAATGAGGGGGGAGGACCTACTGTGGGCGGCGGGTGGCGGGTTGGGGCCTTATTTAAAAGACCACTTCTAGCAAACCTGAACAGTGCTCAGATCACCTACAGCTGGAAGGAAAAGGCCTTACGGATGTCTGGGTTTCTGCAAGGTAGACTTTAGAAGAAACTATCTACCCTTAATACTGGACACTATAATTGTATTGAATTTTAACCACTTCCATATTTTTAAACTATGTATATCTAACCACCATTTCTTTGTCATTGTATCTTAAATGGATGTGCTTGTTCTTTAGTGTGTTCTTTATACATAGATATATTGTGCAGTTTTTCTTGTCCTGCATGCTAAAGCTAGTTGCTCCCTGCCCTGCTCATCACTGGTTTGTTAACTTAAATGTTATTCAACATCCTGCTTATCTCTAAAGAATTTCTCTGTTATTTCTTCTCCCCCCCCACCCCTTATTTTATTGATACCCACCTGAATGGCTTGACCAATCTTCACCTCCTCTGTGCATCTCCATTCCATAGCTTTTATTGCAGTCCTGTTTTGACCCTATCATCTCTGTCTTCCACAGTCTGAGTTTTTAAGGCCACTTCTAGCAAACCTGAACAGTGCTCAAATTCCCGCCCACCCCAAGTTCCTTACTACATTTATAGATAGGATCCCACACACAACTTTAGATAATTCCAAATAGCAGCTGCAAACACTACCAAGAATGAGCGCAATCCACCTTCTTAACCCTTAACACCCAGTCCTTCTCCTTATTTCTGCTCATTCTCCTTTCCTCTAATTACCTACCCATCAGAGCAATGCTCTATATTCTCCTCCTCTCCTTCTCTCTCATCTCCCTCAGGATCAAAATATCCCCTTCCACACAACACACTCACATTTACATTAATCCCTCTCTGCTACATTCCCCCCTTCTCTCATCTCAAGCCCTGCACTCATTTCTCTATTCTCTCTCTCCTGCTCTAACCCAATCTCACCCTAGTCGCCACCCATATAAAACCTATTCACACCTCCTGTCACTATCTCTCCTCCTACTTCTGGCAGCTGGTGACGTCTCTCCCAACCCAGGGCCCCTCACCTCATCTGCTCACACTAAAATAACCAGAAACCATGGTTTCTCACGGTAACTCACTCACAATACTGGCACTCACTGAGACCTGGCTGTCCCCATCCGATACCGCTACTCCTGCTTCTTTATGTTTCAGTGGTCTACAGTTCTCCCATACTCCTAGACTCGACTGTAAAGGAGGTGGTGTAGGCATCCTTCTCTCCTCTCAATGTACCTTTCAACCTATCCTCCCTGCCCCTGCCCTATCCTTTACTTCCTTTGAAGTTCACACTGTAAACTTTTTTAAGCCCACTCCTTTAAGAATTGCCATCATCTATCGCCCCCCCCAGTCACCCTAAACTATTTATTGAACACTTCTCCTCCTGGTTACCCCAATTTATTTCCTCTAGCACTCCCTCTCTCATACTTGAGGACTTCAATATCCCTATCAACAAGCTCAACTGCCCTCATGCCTCTAGTCTGCTCTCTGTAACCTCCTCCTTTGGACTCAGCAACTCACACTGCAGGAAACACTCTTGACCTCATCTTCACCAATCTCTGTACCACCTCTGATCTCGCCACTGTTCCATTTCCTTTGTCTGACCACCATCTGCTAACATTTAACCTCTGCATACCCCGTACCAAAATTTCACCACCATCAACTCTCCAACCTCGCAGAAACCTCAACTCCCTCGATCTCCAGTACTTCTCCACCAAACTCCAAACACTCCTTTTACCCATCTCAAATCACAACTGCCCTAACTCTGCAACCTCACTCTACAACTCCACTCTCTAGTCTCAACTTGACATCATGGCACCTCCTACAATTAAACGCAGCAAGCGCCCCCAACTACAACCCTGGCACACCAAGCTGACCCGTTACCTCCAAAAATATTCCAGAACTGATGAACGCTGCTGGAGAAAGTCTCACTTTGCATCTGACTTTGTCCACTATAAATTTATGCTGCGCTCCTACAGCATGGCTCTTTCCTCTGCAAAAGTAAACTACTTCAACACCCTCATAAGCACACTGTCCCACCAACCCAAACACCTGTTTCACACTTTTGATGCTCTTCTTCGCCCTGTGACTCCCCCTCCTTCCACCACCTTGTCCGCCACAAACTTTGCATCTCATTTCACTGAGAAGATCTCTACAATCAGGAAAGAGATTTCTAATCTCTCTCCTACCAGTATCAATACATCACCCAACCCCACTCCCCCTGCCATCCTATGCTCATTTGCACCTGCTACAGCACAAGAGGTTTCTGCTCTGCTCCTGTCCTCCCGCCCCACCACCTGCTCCCTCGATCCTATTCCCTCGCATCTCATCCACACTTTTTCTCCCTCTCTTGCTCTTCCTCTCGATAACATTTTCAATCTCTCCCTTTCCTTTGGCACATTTCCCTCTGCCTTCAAACATGCAACCGTAACCCCAATTCTGAAAAAGCCCAACCTTGATCCCAACTCCCCATCCAACTACCGCCCTATCTCGCTACTGCCATTTGCCTCTAAGATCCTCGAGAGAGTTGTCTACGCCAGATTGACAGGCTTTCTCGAATCCAACTCTCTGCTTGACCCCCTTTAGTCTGGATTCTGCGCTGGTCACTCTGTCGAAACTGCTGTGACCAAAGTATCCAACGATTTAATTGCTTCTAAATCTCGCGGCCAATACTCTATCCTAATCCTCCTTGATCTTTCTGACGCCTTTGACACTGTTGATCATAAACACCTTTTTCACATTCTCCGTAACTTTGGTCTACAGGATACTGCTCTCTCCTGGTGCTCCTCCTACCTCTCCCAGCGCACTTTCAGTGTTTCTTTCTCTGGCTCTGCCTCTTCTCCCTAACCCCTCTCTGTCGGCATCCCCCAAGGTTCTGTCCTCGGCCCCCTACTGCCTCCCTTGGTAAACTCATCAGCTCCTTTGGCTTCCAATACCATTTTATATGCAGATGACACGCAAATCTACCTGTCCTCCCCTGATCTCTCTCGGCCCACCCTGACTCGTGTTTCTGACTGCCTCTCTGCTATTTCTAACTGGATGGCTGCTCACTTCCTTAAACTCAACCTGTCAAAACAGAACTTCTAGTTTTTCTCCCTCAAGTGCTGCTACTCCTGTGTCTGTCTTTATCCAAGTCAACGGCGCTACTATCACCTCTACCTCCCAGGCTCGCTGCCTAGGGGTTCTTTTTGATTCTGATCTCTCTTTTACTCCCCATGTCCAATCGATAGCCAAATCCTGTTGCTTCCAACTCAAGAACATAGCACGCATCCGCCCATATCTAACGCCGGGCGCGGCTAAGGTACTGGTTCATGCTGTTGTTCTCTCTCGCCTTGACTATTGCAATCCCCTTCTCACCGGTCTTACATGTTCCCAGCTTGCACCACTGCAATCTATAATGAATGCGGCTGCGAGGTTTATTTTCCTGTCCGGTCGCACCTCCCATGCCTCCACGTTCTGTCAGTCCCTGCATTGGCTTCCAGTTAGATATAGGACCCAATTCAAAATTCTGGCGCTTGCTTACAAATCCTTACATAATGCTGCTCCAACATACCTATCCTCCCTCATACACAAGTATGTCCCGTCGAGACCCCTGCGCTCAGCCCAAGACCTACGCCTATCCTCTGCCCGGATCCCAACCTCTGATGCTCGCCTTCAAGACTTCTCCAGGGCTGCACCTATTCTGTGGAACTCCCTTCCCTCCTCAATCAGACTTTCACCCAGCCGCCACTCCTTCAAAAAAATCTTTGAAAATTCACTTCTTCATTAAAGAAGGCAATCTACAACACAAAAATAATAGAGACAGACATAGAGCAATAATGCAATATAATGGGGATTATAGAGGTAAATAATTACACTCACAGACCCAATTTGATTGAAGGCATATCATAAATAACGATGTGTAAACTTCAGGACTTGTGGAACGTCAATACCATGCATAGGAGGAAGAAAAGAAATAATAGTGCAGAGTATCTTAAGTAAAAATGACACAATTTATTACAAGATACACTTACAGAAAAGACGTATCAAAAAGGCACATCAAGCTCTGCTGGAACTACAACCCAATCACAGGATCAAATGAGCAGGAAAGCCAAATAAAATAAACTTTAAAATATAAAAGAAACAAATACTCAGCACATAAAACAGGCCCTACGCGTTTTGTTCATAAAATAACTTCCTCAGGGGCATCCAGTCCTATGCAGACAAGAGATAAATAGATCGACCGTCTCTTTATAAATACATCCGAAATTGCCGCGAGTAGAATCAGCTGTTCAAGATACTTCCGAGTTAGGGCTTCAGTATATTTCTGGGTACGCCCCTGTAGCGGAGATACAATATTCCCCAGGTTATCTCCGCTTAAGATCCCAGTGAGGCTCAGGAACAAGTAAATTATAAATCCACAGGCAAAGTTTCCAACAGGCAAAATAATCCAATAGTATCCCCACAGCAATCCCAATAACTGGACGACACACAGCATCAGGAGCAGAACTGAAAGCTTTATTCCACAGTGGCCTTTTAAAGCATGCTCCCATGCAAGGGAGGGATTACATTCATTAATACATTAGCCAATCCTGTCCTGGTAACTTCCCACACATCTCCTCCCCTCAGCCGGCATCATAATCCCCTTATCCAGTACAGCAATTCCCCCCGTTTCTGGATGTACCACTAAACCTAGGGGTACCACTTTAAATTCTGAATCCCCTAGTAGCCCTGATCTGGGTGAACAACATATCCAAAAATCTCCCAGATCAGACCAGGGGTTCGGGAATTTCATGGAGGGAATAAAATGACCGACCGCGCTGGATGAACTAGCCGAATTGGGCTCCATGCGATTTGGCCCTGCGGTCGGTCCTGGAAAAGGCGAATGAAGTACCTGAAAGCCTCCAGCTATAGAGGCTTGGGAGGGTTCGCCTGAATCCCCTCGTTCGGTTGATTATGCCTACCGAACGAGGGGCCGTTCGGTAGTTTGGAACCGAACGGACCGGGCTGATGGAGGTCTCAGCGGTGTTCGCCTAGTCGAGTGTCCGTTTTGAGTTCCAGACACTCGGCGCCACGTGTTCGTTTCTCGAATGGCGGCCACCCCCGAGAACAAAGGATTGCTACCCAGCTTGTCAATTACCCGTTTGCAACAATGTTGCAACGGGTAATTGAAGGCACACTTTACACAGGGGAGGTCTGACTGTACGGTAGTTTCATTCGAACAAACTAAGGGAATGAAACTACCTAACATTCAGACGAATCCAATACATTTTACACATAGAACTTTGCTATTTTACACGAATGCATTCCCTTACTGCATAGACATTTAGCAAATAGACGAATACAGGTTAAACATAATACAAGTCCCAGGGCAGCCCATGGCCATCAGCCCCTATTGTGTTCCGGAAATGCTGTCCAAGCCTCATTCTGAATTTCGTCCGGATAGGCGGAAATCAAGAAGATTGTGCGTTCCATTTTGCGTTCCATTCTCGGAATTAAACACATAAGTCCCCACCACATCATTAAGCAGAAAAAAATAGATATATGTAAAAAGAGTTTTCTCTTCACTCAATTTGAACAAAAGTAATGATGAAAACACTGATACTAATAATAATAAATCAAAATACAATAAGAAAATACATAATATAATAAAATGAAATAAAATAAATAAAAATAATAATAATAATAATATTAACTAAATTAAAAAGACAATAAATCATAAAAAACAAACCAAATCAAAATCAACATTTAAACCCCTCGGTTTCATAGTTTTCAATGTATGAATCCAATAACCCTCTCTTTTTCTTAAAGCCATCATAAGATCCCCTCCTCTATAGCTACACATTTGAGTGTGTCAAAATTAAAAAAGGACATTTATTACAGGTACTGAATGTGATAATAAACCTTTTTTAATATTATTTCTATGTTCTTGGAACCTAATTTTGACTTTCCTTCCAGTTCTTCCAACGTACTGCATCCCACATCTACAAGTGAGGAGATACACCACGTGGGAAGAGAAACAGGATACTTTACTCTTAATCTTAAATTTAACTTGAGTTTGTGTGCTTACAAAATCCTTTATAACACTGAATCGGTGACCACAACTCTTACAGTTCCCACAGGTATAGAAACCTCGCATACATCTAGTCTGATCTCTTCCTGATCTAAAAGTACTGGGTGCAAGGATCTGCTTCAAATTAGTACCTTTTCTAAAAATAATTCTCGGAGCTTGAGGGATTTGTGTACTTAAAAACTCATCTTCAAGAAGTAATCCCCAGTGTTTCTTAATTATTC